TTTTTTGTATTAAAAACACTTTTCTTTAATTGGTCGGATGAAATATGCTAATTTTTTTAGACAGGAATTTTGGGTTTTCATGAGCTGTACGCCAAAATCATCAATATTAGAAAGAATAAAAGGCTTGAAATACTTCAGTTGAGTGTAATGAATCTAATAGACATGAAAGTCTAATGTTTATCAGTACATTACAGAGAATAATGAACTTTATCACAATATGCTAATTTTTGAGAAGGACCTGTATGTTGACAGGCCTCTCAGAAGAACTCTAGATCACAACTCCACATTCGGACCCTGGTTTTGTGATCAATAGCACATGGTCTAGCATCGATGCCCTTCAACAGGATTTCATTATCCTGTTACTGTAGAAGGAAAGGTACCACCTGCACTCCTGTTTTCTCTGTGATCTATGGACCAAGCTGGAGAAGAAAGCGGCAGAACAAGATACTTATTTAGTGGCTGCACCACTCCGAACTGCTTCGCAGCTGTGTTGAGCCACCGCTGTGTGTGACGGATGAATGCTCGAGTGTAGTACTCTAGCTGTCCATCTTCACACATCTCACCCAGAGAGACAGCTCATGCATTTTTACCACCGGGCCTCACCTCATTCAAGACACCGGTGAGATCCATGGACTCAAGTAACTGTCAGGCGAACCCCTGACGACAGAGAAGGCGCAACGGAAGAAAAGTAAAAGCAAGAGAAAGATAATTAACTAATCTTAAAGCTTGTGTTTTGTTAAACCTGGCAAAGTGCACTCCCTGTGTTCCAGTGAGAAGCGTGTGTGGTCTTGAGCCCATGAGCATGTATTATCTGGCATGTACTTCTGTGAGTCATTCAACCTTGACGTCTTTTCCACGTTATCTGAAGGCAGCTTGTAGACAGCCAAACCGGGAGCAACTTGACTCTGCAAACAGACGCTTCCCTAGACAACATTTGTCCACAGCAGCAACGTAAAAAAAAAACACCAATAAGGCCATCGTGTTACGCCGTTCCTATCCCACTTCCTGTCGTCTTGCCATGCACTTACGATTATCAAGTTTATGCGTAGATAAGATGGCTCATCACATCCACACTCAGACTCTGTTATCGCTAACAGAAACCGTTTGGGTTGCAGAAGCTACCAGGGTCTAAGGAGTTATACTATCATACACTCATCAGGGATTAAAAAAGAAATAAACAATAATTAGATTGGGATTTTCTGTTGGCTTGCCTCATAGCCTCTGTTGGGAAAACACAGGCCATGACAGAACAGAGAGAGGATTATATCTGTGCCCCGGGGCCCCAGAGGCAAGGCACAGGTGTGTATTCTTCACATGCAGGTGTGTGAGACAGGTGAAGGAACTTAAATCTTACTTTAGCTCAGTCAGCATGCTCGATTCATCAGGTCACCCCTCCCCCACCACCTCTTGGCCTCCACTCACACTTCCACCAGGCAGCGCCAACGCAGGTGCGCAGCGAGCATTTAGTGTTTAGATTTCAGCTTCGTGGATGACAAAATACTTCACAAATATGCTTTTTGTTAATTAGAAACACGAGAAACAAAGTAGAGTTGAAAAGTTGTGAGTGTTCAGTGCTAACCCCAAACCCTCTTACAGATTTCTCCCGTTTTTACATTTTTTGGTCACACTTAAATGTTTCAGATCAGTAAACACAATCATTAATGGGGGCGAGGGGGTCTAAATCAGCATGGACCTTTGTAAAAAATTAATTGCTACTTGAACTCAAAAACTGGTTGAAACAACAACAATTGAGCATATGCCATACCATACCAGGTTTATTTATGAAGCACATTTCAAAACAGCATGACAGCTGACCAAAGTGCTGTAAAGTAGTAAAAAAAAAAAAAAAAAAAGAGGGAATCCAAAAATAACAAACGAGATAAAAGTTCAGATAGATGAAAGACATATGTGATAAGTGGGAATGAAACTCTCACATCGCTGTGGAAACATTTGGACCACTTGGGGGGGTTCCAGTTCCAGTTTGAGGTAAACAGCCAAACAATCTTCTTCTGAATTTTTCTGCCAGAGAACAAAAGTCAAGGGAAAACCCAAGCCATCTTATTTTTTATAAACATTAATTCAGCTCCATTCAGTCCTCTCACACTTTTCTTTAATGCATTGAAGCACGTTGTTTGTAAATGCCACTGGCATGCCTGAGTGAGGTTTAATTATGTGGCATTTTTACATTCACCTCATTCTGCAGCCATGTGCATTGTTTGTTGCTGACATTTTCTGTCCTGTGCTTGCTTAGTGAAAATGTAAAAGCAATAACTTGGGTGGTCCTGCACATTTCTGAATGATCCCACTGACTGAACAGCAGTAGGAAAAGCCCGGAGTTGATTCTGTTGACTCCTGGAGGGGTCGAGGGACGGCTGCTGAAACGTAAACCACGGAGCGGTCGAACGTTGCTGTTAAAGCATCACAGGAGCTGACAGACCCGATCAAGCAACACAGATCATTTAAATACACACCAACTTCTCTACGCTCACCTCGTCACCCTGCTAACTCACTTCCTGTTATAATCACCGCCGCCGAGCCTCAATCTCTGAACTCATTTTTGATGCTAATCAGAGAATAAACAGCAGCGTTCGTTGGGGCAGAGGGAAACGACTTGCTCGACAGTGACGAGACAACGGGAGACAGTAGAGAGGAACGACCCGTAGATTTCAGATGAAGGTTCGTCGTCACAGCAACCCCATTCGGGCAAATGAAGCACAATTACAATAACGTGGCCTAAACGCTGCCAGCTCAAGCAGAACAATCACATTTGGGGCGAGACGTTGCAGCGGCTATGACCTCAGCCTTCCTCATCACTCACCTAGACTATTTAATCTGGGCTTACTTTCCATTACGGGCCGCTGCTTTAAATCGCTCCCATTTAATCACAAGCATCAATAGAACTCTGTCCCTTCGCTATAAAGCATCACCGCCGTTTCCCCTCCAAGGATCGCATTGTTACAACTCTTCTCTCAGTTTTTATATTTGATGACCCTCATTCTGCCTCCTCTGCTCATTTCATCTACCTCCACACACACACACACTGGAGTTAGAGTTTCTCTTGACTCAGCAACAGTGAAACCACAAGCCCTGCTGGCGGGTTGGGATCACACACTCTGTGCTTGTCCACAAGCGGCCGTTTCCAAGGCCTCGTGGACGGATTTAAGTCGAGCCACGCTTCAGCACCCAGGATGGATGTGATTGTCACCACCTCCTACATCACAGCCCTATGAATAGCAGCAGGTCGGGAGTGAATGCCCACTATGTGAGACACGCTCAAGTCCAGCTGCCAACTGTGGTGTTCCTAGAAACATCCGTCATCGCCACTTCTTCATAAAAACACGTGACCCTGCTTCCACAACTCCAGCTAATAACTTTTTCTATCTTTTCCTCCTCTTATTCATAAAGTAAACACTAAAACAGAACCAGCACCATTCACAGGGTTAGGCTTTGTTGGCTGTGCCACCGAGAGGATAAGATTCCAGTTGCGGTTCTGTGAAGCAGCTCCTCATCTCCAAAGACCCGGTTCCCTCTTTAAAAGGCTGGGTGAAGGGGTGAGTTTAGGTGGAGAGCAAAGAGGAGCAGGGAGGAGGGTGACAACTGGGACTGGGAAGATCTACAGCTTTCAGGGAGTCGTTCACCCTTTTCTGTCTTCGGCCAGCCTGCAATGCCAGCAGCCGGTGCTTAGCAACCAGTGGGGTTCGGCTGAAGAGAGGAAACGATGCGGAGGGAGGTAAAAGGAAGAAAAAGAAAGGAAGGAGTTGATTTGCAAACTACAGAAGGCCTGAACTGAAACTTGCAGCTGTGAAGAACAAAAGCAGGGGTTGACAGGTGAAAGAAAAGGAAAAATGAGACCTAGCAAGACTCCTGGATTCACCGACAACAAAAAGCCGTCTTCGCATTCAGCCAAGTTGTGCAAACAACACAAAAGCAAACAGCCGTTTGAATCGCTTCGGCACAAATGATGATTTAATGTCTCAGCGTGAGAGTTTTGTTTTCTGCTTCTGTCATAACAACCCTCTCGCTGTCTGTACAGGTTGGTGTGTGCGTGGAAGAACTGTGAAGGGGTCTGTTCCATTCATAATTAACACTAGACAGAAACCAGCTCACCAGAAATGACACGTTTGATTTGATTTGGTCTACTAGTAACCGGTTCCATGAATCCAAATGATAATTGTTCCAGCTGAACGTAGACTGCCAATGAGAATTAAAAACTGCATTAAAGCGGTGCCTATGTAGTAGTGAATCTATAGAAACCTCATAAAGTCATAATAATCATGCTGATTTGGCACTATTCATTATAGCAATTATCAGAATGAAGCTGATTTGCTTTTATGTCGTTATTAAATATCAGCCAGGAAATAGATGTTGTTGTTTTAAGCCTCATTAACAAAAAGCACCTTTGGTTCTGACATTTGCAGTTAAAAATACTATTTTCCAATACCAAAGCATGTAAAAGACAAATCACAGCACCGGAATAAGGATCCAGACATTACTTAGTGAAGTTTAAAGCTAATTTTAGGTCATTTTCTCTTATTTTGCAAAACTGAAATGACAAAAATGCTCTCCACCTGTTTATCAGCCAGAACCTGCAGCACCCCACCCCAACGTGAATCATTTATTCACACAAGTCTGCTCCACTAAAAGCGTCTCGGACAACCAAAGACTTCTAAATATAATTTAACAGGTACATTTGACTAGTTCTGTCCATATTAATCATCAGCCTATAATAATTCTGTATGATTCATCTGTTGCATCAGAGGAAAAATAACACAAACAACCATCCGAATTGGGCCATTAAAGCACCGTAAACACGCTGAATGGTTTAAATTAGGCTTATTAATAGGGCTGTTGGTGTTTAATTGTAAGTTTTATGACTAATTGTTGATATTTTAACAAAACCGTGAAGATAAAAGTAGAATGAGTGAAGATCAGGCGTTTCTTGGAAGGTGTTACGCCCCTTTATCATAAACTTTGACATTTTTTATTTGAATTAAACTCACCATTAACTTGAAAGCACAGTAATCCACCAACAAGGACGACTGCTAGCGGACCCATGGTAGCATATTAAATCATCCACGGCGGCGCGCGATCCTCTAATTCACGGCGGAGACGTGAGTCCAGATTACGGGCTGAGTGTCCTCGCTAGGGGACCGGTGGACAGGTCCTGACGTCCTACTTACTGACAAAAGCCAGTTTCAGTGTCCAAAAACGGAGAAGATCCATTAAACAGCAGTCGCCCGGAGCTGCTCGGGGTTTAAACATCCAGAAAAAAAAACAACCTCCAATCCAAACTCGGTGCGTCTGTGAGGACTACCGGAGTCTGCCCCGCGCGCTCCGCCGTCTCTCCCGAGAGGACCTGCTGGACAGCCCATACAGAAAAAGTCCGCTGCAGGTCCCCGCTTTCCCGGAGAAGTGTTTCTGGCACCTTTCAGATCTTACAGCGACGTCTCCATAGTTCAGCCAACCGGGAACCGGGAAAGCAGCCGTTAACTCTCACGCGCTCCCCCCTAAAAGTTGGTTTATTCTCACCAGGGTGGAAGCAGCGCTCACGCGAGCCATGTGAGCCGCTGTGGACGTGAAACCACTCTACAGTTGGACGTCCTCCCCTCTCCTCTGCGTTTGGGTTTGAACAGCGCGGCCGCTAGGAGCGCACGGTCTCTGCGCACCGGCACAGCCCGCAGCCCAACACACCGAGGCACACCCCACACGGACCGGTACCGGAACGAGGAGGGGCGGGGAGGCCGCCCGTGTAGACCTCCGGCAGGGGAGAGGTTAGGTCTACCAAGTAAGTGGTCAGCTGGAAGTTAAATCAGGAAACAGGTGTGCGCACATTTGGACGCATTATTAAGATTCACCAAACTGGGGCACCAAACTAAATAAAATTGGAGAGAAAATACCCGAAAATGTAACTTCCGCCCTTAGAAATACAATTTTATGATACAAAGAGGGAAATAAACAATAACTGTTCGTGTATGAAATTATAAAAACGATTACCTCCATCAACAGACTCAACAAACAAAATGCACTGGATGTTTGTCTGTTGGGAATGTGGTGAAGCAGAATATAAACGTCATCTTTGTCACAAATCAACGAAAGTTCCTGCTTTTAAGATGCAACGACATGCAAATCTGAATATTTATTTGGAAAATGTGAAGAAAAAACACTCAAAAATGCACCAAAGTTAGTAACATTAATTCATTCATCTTGGAACACTGAGCACATTTGAACCTTGGGCTGAGGTTTGTGAGCCACTGCCCAGCAACCCTCCACGTGAGGCTTAAGCTGTGAGCTGTGAGCGCCCCCTACTGGTAGAACCCATAAAACTGGTCACGTCACTTCTGATTCATCAACAGGAACACAGACAGCACACCCCTGAGATGGTGAGCAGGAGATATGACACCCTGACATCCACTAGGCTTTCTTCTGTTCTCACTTTCTGGATTCAGATGATTTAATTCATTCTAAATTAGAAAAATCTGAGATTTGTGGTTGTTCTTGGTCAAATCTCTCGCAAATTACATTCTAAACTTTTATGTTTAGCCTCCAAAATTGTTTAAACTAATAAAAACAAATGTTTTACCAGTGAATAAAGAGCGCAGCACAAGCAGAACAGTCCGACTATTTGCGTTTTAGCTTCACAGGCTCATAAATGCGTGTCCTAAAAAGTCTCTGCTTTCTCATTGAACGATTTACATCAAACATGCAACAAAGTCCAGAGTTCTTCCTGTGAGGGAACCTTTGAAACCCCTCCCCAGTCAGCGGCTAAGGCAGCTAGCACCGTGACAAACTGGCTTTGGCAAAGGGAAACACTTCTATCACCTTTAATAATAGCTTTGACTGCTCTGCCTTTTTTCATCCGTTTGTTTGTTTGAGCTGCACGTCGGAGCTTGCCCTGCGAAGGCCTGACTGGGAAACAGCAGCATGTTGCATGCTCCCTATGCCTCTCGCTCGCCCTCTCTCCGTCTCCATGCAGGCTGTGCTGTCAGCCGGCCAGGCGCAGCGATTTGTCTTCATATTTTAATACGTTTGTGAGCCGCATGCAAATGCCGTCTTCTCGGCGTCTCCACGGCGTCCCAGATTCTAGCAGATGCATGCAGCCATGAATGCACACATAAAGAGCCAAACAGAAATTTATTGTGTCATCAGTGTTGCTGAAGGTTCAAGGCAAATAAAGAAAGGGGGGGCGAAATGGAGAATTGTAGAGAGGTCATTTACTAAGAAGAAAAGCCCACTTCAGACATAAACAATAGAGGCCTCATTGATGAAAAAGGAAGTGGAGTGTAATTCTCCCCCAAGCCCAGCCTTTTATTCCCCGCTCTCAATCACTTTATCTGTTGCAGAGGCGGCGATATTCCCGGGTTTCTAAATATCAGCTCAAAGTGGATTTATTTTAATTAAACTGGAGGCTGTGTTTATTCAGGAGGTGGCAGAAAAACGAGGCAGAGGGGCCTAAGCAATGACCCGATAACTAATGGATACCATGATATGAGCTTATGCTTCATTCCACTGCTGGAAAAGCATCACAAATCTTTGATTATGGTCACATCGTTACCGTCACGCAGGAAGTTTTTGGGGTTTCGTAAGTCGTTTCATTCTATAAACGGAGAGCATGAAGAAAAACGTGTAAAGACAAACGTGTGGGACGTCATTAAAGCAGAAATCCAGAGTTTTTTCTCAGGTGGCGCCATCCAGAGGAGGAAATATGTATGGCACCTTTAAGCCTATCTCCCTACTTCTGTGATTATGGTTGGAAGCAACGCCTCTCGTTTCTGAACACAGCTCTAGCCACCCAACAGAGCTAAAACACATTGCTTTACAAAATCTATTCACCACTTCTTCAACAGTGTATGGTGGACCGCCCCACTAAAGCCTGGTTTATGCTTCTCCGTCAGCTCAGCAAGGGACAGACACGCACGGATTGACGGAAGCGTTTTGCTCTTTTACTTCTCCGTCTCCTGGAGAGTGTTGCAAAGCAATTGCCCGGCAGGACAACAGAGGGCGTAGCGCTGTTCTGTGGTATCCTGTCATGTATCGGTCCAAGATAGTGTGTTTATATTGTGTTTTTTGTATATAAGAGACTTTTAACACGGACATATTTGTCTCTCATTCTCCCACCGCTTCATGCGCTCCCCACCTCTAAACCCACGTTTCCTGTCATTTCCGTCCACAAATAAAACGCTTGCTGTGCATCTTTTCACTCCTCCAGTCACGGGAGGATGAAACGTTCATATTTTTAGAGTTTTTTCGCGAGGTATTCTTCAAGCTTCTCCGTGTCTGCCGCTAGTTATCATTGGCTCTCTTTGCAATGGCAGCGCTGTAAACAACAGCGGCGTCCTGACCAATCACAAGCTTGCGTAATCTGTCTCGTTCGACGGATGTTTAAAAAAGTGGGCTCGACTCCGTACGTACTTGCGTGCCTGTCGGAGCCCTACGCAAGGACGGATAATGGCGTTGCGTGTCTCCGCACTGACGCAAACGGAGAAGCATAAATCAGGCTTAACTGACATCTGCAGCGGTGAGTGCATCATGTTGTTTGTTGTCCAATAGCACAAGGAGACAGTTTGAAAAACAACCGTGGATTCTACCTCATGCCTTTACTTTCCTTCTTAAATTTACTTTCAGGCTCCGCCATGATGCCAACAAAAAAAAGCTAACTTATTTCTTTCTTTCTAGCAAAACAGGTGACCCCACAAAACTGCTAAGTGCTATTTTTGGTCGGCAGAGGGCTGCAGAGGGATGTCAAATATGAAACTGGTCAAGTTTCTAACCCAGCAATCACCGAAACAATCGCTGCTACCAAAACAATTAAACATTTTAAAAGTATCGTCAGATCAACTGCACTGAAATCCTGGAGCTGTTTTCGGATAGCAGCAACTTGCTTTGGTCTTGGCAGCGGCGGCGCTAATACTAGCTGATCAGTCATGTAAGACGTAACCTGTTTCTCCGAAATAAAGCTGTTCGTTAAGCCATTGACCGAAGTGTGGCGTCATGAATGTCCTGTTTTTGACCTAAAGGTCATGATCTGCTGCGTCTGCTCGAGCAAAGACATAAAGTCTCTGACAGGCTAATCTACATGAGATGGTGGCCAAGGTCTTTCATGCACTCTGCTCATCTGAACTGCTTCACCTCTGTTACAGCGAAGACAAGAACTGTTTTGATAAACACATAATCAACAACTTTGTTAATTACCAATAATAATGTGAGCCCAATGTTCAATCAATCTGTGAAATGACAATGTTATTACTTGATATTATAATCCTGTGATCAGTAGTTCTTTACAAGTTATTATTATCTTGGACATTTGCACTAGACACTGATAACACGTAATGCTAAAGTCACACGACACATTTCCTTTTGTCTGATCCAATCAGAACGTCCGTTTCTGGCGCTAGGCGTGATTTTCTGAGGTGTTTGTATAAACCCTCTTTAGCATGTCAAATTCTGATTCGCCAGTAAACCAAAATATGACAATTTTAAAAACTATCCCACGCCACCTTTTCTTTAGTTCAAGCGTTCTAGAGTAGTCTCGGACCGGCCATCCGGACTTCCTCTTCAGCCATAAAGAACCTCGACAAGCTGGATAAAATCTGTTGTAAGTTACACTTGACCGCAACGGTTCCTTCAGAATAAAATGGTAAATGGCCTGTATTTGATATAGCGCCTTCTTGAGTCCTGGAGCCCCTCAAGGTGCTTTACAACACAATCAGTCATTCACCCATTCACACACACATTCACACACTGGTGGGGATGAGCTACGATGTAGCCACAGCTGCCCTGGGGCGCACTGACAGAGGCGAGGCTGCCGAGCACTGGCGCCACCGGTCCCCCTGACCACCACCAGCAGGCAACGTGGGTTAAGTGTCTTGCCCAAGGACACAACAAAAGCGACAAACTGAGAGGGCTCGAACCTGCAACCTTCTGATTACGGGGCGGGCACTTAACTCCTGTGCCACCGTCACCCCAACTGAACCTCACGACCCCTTCAGGGTCTCAGAGACGCCAGTGATAACCTGTTGTGACCTGGAAGTCTTCCAAGACTAGTTTGGTCGGCACCACTGCTTTTCTACCGGCTTCGGTACCAAGGAGGGCCCACGAGGACCTCGCCATTCTGGATCTAACGGAGGCTTCCCCTGGGGTACGTAGACCGACAGATGGCGTTCCATGTGTGTTATAAATCTCCTACTGAAGTTTAGAGTGAAACATTCACTCCCACTCAGACCTAAATGCTTCTCCGGATTCGCTGGTTCTGATAACAACATTCCACACACACACACATCATCATTCATTTCACGTCTCACTCCACCTTAGTCCATCAGTGAACAGAGTGTTAAAGTTAGTCTTGTTTAAATTGTGTAGAAATACATTTCTTAACTATTTTAAACCTGACTCTCTCTCTTTCCTTGGAGTTAATATGAAATGTCGCTTAATCCCTGCAATAAAAAGTTCTGATCTCCTGGTTAAAATAGTCAAAGATCCATCAGATTGATATTTCATATTTCTATGGAGTCTCACATTTTCTGGTTCATAAGTAAGATGTACATGACTCATTCTTTAAAAAAGGTTATTTATGACTTTTATGGGAGTTTGCCCAACCAATCCACATGTGTTTTGTGGATTTGGAGAAGGCTTATGACCGTGTCCCCAGGGGCACCCTGTGGGGGACGCTCCAGGAGTATGGGGTGGGTGGGTTTCTGTTAAGGGCCATTCAGTCCCTTTACCAGAGGAGCGTGAGTTTGGTCCACATAGCCGGTAGTAAGTCGGACCTGTTCCCGGTGAGGGTTGGACTCCACCAGGGCTGCCCTTTGTCACCGGTTCTGTTCATTACCTTTATGGACAGAATTTCTAGGCGCAGCCGTGGTGTGGAGTGTGTCGAGTTTGGTGGCAGGAGAATCTCGTCTCTGCTTTTTGCGGATGATGTGGTCCTCCTAGCTTCATCCAGCTCTGACCTTCAGCTCTTGCTGGGTAGGTTTGCAGCCGAGTGTGAAGTGGCTGGGATGAGGATCAGCACTTCCAAATCTGAGACCATGGTTCTCGACCGGAAAAGGGGGAAAACTCCAGGTTGGGGGAGAGGTCCTACCTCAAGTGGAGGAGTTTAAGTATCTCGGGGTCTTGTTCACGAGTGAGGGTAGGAGGGATCGGGAGATCGACAGGCGGATTGGTTCGGCGTCTGCAGTG